AAAGCCACCCTCAAAAGTGGCCTCCAAGGAGGAAGCGAAGCAGCCACCGCCGATTTCTGCCGTGGCTGATGTTCCCGCTTCGGAAACTGGCCCCGCCGCAACTCCCTCTGCCTCGGCAGAGCCGAAAGTGCTCTCGAAGGTGGCTGAAGAGAAGCTACCCTCAAAAGTGGCCTCCAAGGAGGAAGCGAAGCAGCCACTGGCGACTTCTGCCTCCAAATCCAAACTGGGCTCCTCCAGTTCAGTTCGACACTCCCAAGCCAAGTCAGCACAATGGGCTGCGGTGGCTCCAAAGACGACTTGGAGGATCAGGGAGGCGCTTTGACGCAAACGAGAGAAAAATTGAGTGGTGGTGGTGGCGGCGGTGAAGGAGCTGATGCGGTTGCCTCTGCCGTTCCCTCAGAACGCCCGCCTTCTGCCGTGGCTGATGCTCCAGCTTCGTGCACTGGCACCGCCGCAACTCCTTCTGCCTCGGCCGAACCAAAGCCACCCTCAAAAGTGGCCTCCAAGGAGGAAGCGAAGCAGCCACCGCCGATTTCTGCCGTGGCTGATGTTCCCGCTTCGGAAACTGGCGCCGCCGCAGCTCCCTCTGCCTCGGCAGAGCCGAAAGTGCTCTCGAAGGTGGCTGAAGAGAAGCTACCCTCAAAAGTGGCCTCCAAGGAGGAAGCGAAGCAGCCACTGGCGACTTCTGCCTCCAAATCCAAACTGGGCTCCTCCAGTTCAGTTCGACACTCCCAAGCCAAGTCAGCACAATGGGCTGCGGTGGCTCCAAAGACGACTTGGAGGATCAGGGAGGCGCTTTGACGCAAACGAGAGAAAAATTGAGTGGTGGTGGTGGCGGCGGTGAAGGAGCTGATGCGGTTGCCTCTGCCGTTCCCTCAGAACGCCCGCCTTCTGCCGTGGCTGATGCTCCAGCTTCGTGCACTGGCACCGCCGCAACTCCTTCTGCCTCGGCCGAACCAAAGCCACCCTCAAAAGTGGCCTCCAAGGAGGAAGCGAAGCAGCCACCGCCGATTTCTGCCGTGGCTGATGTTCCCGCTTCGGAAACTGGCGCCGCCGCAGCTCCCTCTGCCTCGGCAGAGCCGAAAGTGCTCTCGAAGGTGGCTGAAGAGAAGCTACCCTCAAAAGTGGCCTCCAAGGAGGAAGCGAAGCAGCCAC